AATATCCCATTTACCTACTTCATACCATTTTAATTATATTCACCATGATAAGTGACTTATTTATAATCATAAAACCCTTCATCCAACTCTATCCATTTTCCTTACTTTATCCCATTATCATTGTATAACCCACCACCACTAAATAATTTTATAAATATATTACATATTTTTATTTTCGTCAATATATTACCATTTTCTTACTCTAACATCATTCCAATATTCTCCAGTTTCCTTGATTTTAGTTTTGCTATTTGTTACAATAAATTAGACTTTTACCTCCAATGTTTCTTAAATAAATCTTTCCATAATCCTTGTTTCTAACCATTCTAATAATATCCACCAACATTCATCATATGTTTTTAACCTCAAAAAGCAATCCATAAGCCAACTTTCTTTCTCCATTAATCATATTAACCAAACCAAGAAAGTCTTTTGATTTATTCTATATTATTGAATATTTCTTGATTATTTTGACACTAAAGTTGGTTTCTTTTTTTGATATATATAATATATACATTCTCAGAATTGCTTCTTTTTTTTAATAGATAATTTAATTATCTGGAACAAATTCGAGGAGAATTTTTATTTTATCAACCCTATTTTTATTTTTGTTGTAATCGTCAACTTCTTAAGTTGATTCTATAAGATTAGTTGTTTTTGGTTCCTTAATAAGATACAATTCCATTATGATAAAAATTTTTTATATTTCTATTACTTTTTACAAAATAAATTCTATAAATAAATAATACTATAAGCAGATAGAACCATTAGATGAGCTTACTGATAAAATAATTTTAATCATCATAAATATAATCGAGGCATGTCTCTAAATTAATTAAAAAAATAAATAAAGATGAAACACAATATAATAAAAAAGCTACTAAATAAAAATATGAATAAAAAGCAAGCTTGGAAATACTAAAATAAATCCTACCTGATCTGATATCAGTTCAAATGCTAATTTGAGAGAAATAATAGCTGCTATTATTTTTGGTTCAGAATAGAAATCTGTTATAATTATTTATTTATTTAGCATATTTGTAGAACTCTCTATTAGGTTATAATAAAAATAGTATAGGTTTTGGAAAAAAAAATTATTTAGATAGGAAGTCATTATTAATATTAATAAACAATTTTAATCTTAATTTGATTTAAACAAAATCCTATCAATTTCATAAGTAATTTGATTGGTTGATAGTATTATATAATAATATTATGGATAAATTAACATGTTTTATATAATTTATCATATTTTATATTCATTTTTCATTGATTTATAATTTATTTTAAATATGATATTCCTTTTTAATAAACCAACTATCATGATTTTTTAAATTGACTAAAATAATTTTCTAAATATAAGAAAAGAAGGAAAGTAAACCAAATATCATCTTCTAGATTTTAATGATTTACAGATTCTTAAAATTGATAATTGTTTTAATTTCTTTATTAATCCATCTGCTTAAGCAAATTTGATCAATTATTCATATGTAACCTTATTATTATTTGTTTTATCTATTTTTTAATTTGTTTTTTGTTGTTATTATAATAAAGGTTGATTTTAGATATCAAATTGTTATTATTTTTGAGAAGAAATAAAATATGTGCTTAATCTATAGTTATTATTTTAAGAGCCACCTCCCCCACAACAACCAGCTGAACTTTGAATTTTATAAGGCTAATTAAGGCACAAAGCACGTTTACTGTAGCTTTTACACAGAAGTTATTGATCATTATAATCAACTCCAATAGTACTAAGCATTACTTATTTATAGATAACTTAAATATTTTATTTGCAATTAATAAAATATCATCTATAGGCATATATACTTTTGATTAGATCAATTATTTAAAGTAATCATCCAAATTGCAAACTTCACAAATAAATGCTGTTTTAGTACATAGTATTTGATTTTAAATTGATAAGTTAATAATATCATTTGAATTATATATTTATTCATAATGATTCAAATTAATTCCTTATTCTTTAAGATATGAATATACCTAAATTAAATATTATAAAACTTATTTATTTGTCATAGTTTAACTTATTTTTTAGAATATTACAAAAATTTACAATCTTTCTTTATTTATTTACTCCAATAATTCACATCATTTAAACTTGAATCTTTGATGCAATTAATAAAGAAATCATTATTCCTAATTCAATTAATACATATTTAATAGATTTAAATTATTTTATATATTCAAACCAATGAAGATTTGTCTTTAAATATATTAATTTAATAAAGTTTATGGTATTTCTAATTCAAATGGTTTCCTTGTTGTTTAATATATCTTTATACTCTCATAAGTTGTTTTTAAATTTGGAAATTAATAGTAACAAAAAACTTTTCATTCATTTTGTTCTTATATTGTTGTAATATTGTTTAAATTGTAGATTTATGACAAAAAATTAAGTTTGATATCATTCCAGTGTGCATTAAATTTCAAACTAGAACCTAATCTTGAAAAAAATTAAGTAAATGTTCATACAAATGATTACGTATCTTATATTATACCTTATAAATTTGAATCTTGAGCGCTATTATCATCTCAATCTAATACAAATTAAAATATTATTAAATAAAATCAATATTGCTTTTCAGAATGAGTAACAAAGTTTTCATTGACAAAGTTAATTTTTTGATTGCTAAGAAAGGTTTAATAATGGTTAATTCTATTGCTAAGTTTTCATTTTTTAAATTTTAATAATTTATCCTTAGTTCTTGAAATAAACTACTATAAATTTAAACTAACGATTAAAAATTAAAATAACGATTAACTAAATATCTTATCAATAACCAATCAAAAATCGAATTCATAAAAAAAACTAAAAATACAATCAAAATTGTAATTATCAAACAAAAAAAAATGTCAATAAATTCATATAATAAAAAATAAGTTTTTAAGAATTTTCATAAAATTCTAACATTAGAAAAATAAATTAAAACTATAAATATTAGAACTTTGCTCTTATTTAGATATATTATATTTCTAATGATTTAATTGTAAGAAGAAAATCCTTCATCCAATTCAATCCACTTTTCAATCTTTTTCTAATTTCCTTCTTAATCATATAAGCCACCTCCACTATATTATTATTCTTATAATATAATTACATATATTTAAATTGGTTTTCTCCATC